AAAAGTGATGTCGATCTGTGGAGGCGGAAGACATTGGGCGACAGCGGTCCCATTTCTCTCGGCTGATGAGCCTACCACTTCTCTTGGCTCGACAGACACGGAGGCATATTTGCGCATCCCCTTTAATTTTATGGGGAAAGGAGTGTGCAACCAACGACCGCAGCTGCTCAAACTGCTTGACAAGTTGACACGTCGACACGCTGAAGCTGCATCACAGAACGGAGATCACAAGGAACTACCCGATACTGAGCTTAAGTCCGCCGAAATCTGCTGAAAAGACTAAACGATTACATTAGGCAATCTGTCCGTTGCTAACTACGCCTGACGAAGAACCTTCCCCATCAGCTACATCCATGCCGGTAAGGAAGACGTTGGGTCTGTCATCCGTAGTCTGATGAGTGCAAACATTTCGATTCGGTGGAGAGCACGTATGGAAAATCCCCTGCCTCCCAGGGCAGAGTACTGAGCAATGTGGTCAAGGATTTCGTATTGACGAAATTTTTCGGGATATCAACCTTCTGATTCGAACTCAAGGTGCAAGCGTAGACGCTAAGAAAGAGCTGGTGGAAGCCTGAGTTGATAGCTTGCACAATAGCGCTGACGGTAGCGTTTTGCTAGCTTTGGACGCCTAATCTTTCTCGAAACGATGGCTTGTGTTTCCGGAGCGAGTGCTTCCTCGGGGTATCCGTCTCCGATGCAACCAACTTGTGGCAAGAATTGTAGGCGCCCGGTGTAATCACAGTGGACAGCCGATCTTTTATCGTGGAAATTGTGTCCGCCTGGAAAGTCTGGTGCATATTCTGCAGTCCTGCTGGACCATGCGAGATGCTAGGTGTGCTCGTCACAACGGGTCTCAAAGAGACTGACATGATCTTGCCTGATGATATATAACCAACCACTTCTTCAAATTTCATTACTATCATTATTATTCCCTGGATCAAAGAATCGTAGAAAAAGAAGTGTCAGAAATTTCTGGCAATTCTTGAAGAGTCGGTTGGTCGCATATCACAGAAGGATTGTGGGGTTACGTGATAGGCCGCCTTGGAAGGAAGCCTATTCATTTGCATAATTATGCACGCAGGTTCCGAGATTTGCCGGAGCTATTTGAGGCTGAGTATGCCCCCAATAAAGGTGGGGGAAGAGCGCTGGTGATAGATCATAGAATGAATGGACAATAAGTGCTTCCGAACTACAGCTATGTGTACCAGTGTAAAGGGGTCGGAGCCAAAGGTCACGGTCTCTCGACTGCGGGGCGCTACTTGAGGCAGAATAAAAGAATGGGTGCTCGGGAGTTAGGAATAATGAGCCGCCTAGAAAGAGGGGACAAAATTAGTGTGTATGGTGCCGATGCAAATTGAAGAATGTCTATGCGTGCGACGATAGGGAAAGTGAATCCTTGAGATATCGGTTGCGTTGTATCATTAGCGCCTCAGATTTGGTTTCACACATACTCGGACAACTTAGAAGAGAATAAGGAAGTAACGACGCCCTGATGTGAGCAGTGAGTTAGAACACACTAAACCTTGACTGGAACCCGTACGCGTGAGTCAAGCCGCAGGTAATTGATTGGCTCAGTCACTCAAATAAGCCAATAACATTCCGCGCCACAGTCAGTTTGTTCAGTGTGAACGTGCACCCACCCGTTCCGTTGACTTTTTGGGCGATAATCCTGCATGTCTTGCTGTTCGAAGCCGGTCACAGAAAATGTGAAGTGCGCGGCGGAAGTTTCAATCTCCAGGAATCATCGTCTAACGGCAGATAATTTTGGAAGTCATTGAAGAGCGATCATTGACTCAGGGAATTATTGATTACCATCTCCTCTGGCGGCAGCCATTTCCGGTAGAGGTGATATGTGACTGGACATCTGTTTTGTGTGTCCAACTGTTGAGTCCAAGCGCCCTTTTACTCCACCTGAGTTAACTTCATGCTAATTTTCCACTGGATCCGGTGTATTTGGCTTCTACCCATGAGGACTTGGTGGCATTTAACTTACCCGCCGGTAAACGATTTGTAAGCGGTAGCTGGAAAAATGCCTCTCAAATTTTTGCATGAAGAAAAATTCCCGTACGGCGGAAGTGAGCAGCAAAGACGAACGATCCGAAAAGAGTGGCTGGTCCAGCAAAGTGATCTTTTACTCCTCACAAAACGATTAAGCATTGGTGTCAGAGAGGTTGGTTGCTTCAGAGAGGGCAGTTTCAACCTGTGAGGTAATGCAAACTGCCCTACCGCGATTCCCGCCAGAACTAACCTGATGTGGGGTCTAGTTCGTTGCCCCACGGGATCTGCATAGAGCCTAATTTATAGCGATCGCATATTCAGATGCAGGTAAAAGGGTAACACCTCTGAGTTGATCGAGAAGCCGCACACTCTCTTTCATCTAACTTTTGCTAAATCCATTTCACTGTTACCAACAAATTGGAAAACATTCCCACCAGTGCATGGATGAAACGACGTCGAATAAGGAGTGTATTATTTAACGTGATCAATTTAAGAGTTAAGCAAACAGGAACGACCAGAAACCAATCGTTTAAAAACCCTTTTACTGTAAACGCTTCATTGATTGCCAAAGCACTTCAGAAATAATATTCTGCATTAAACCACATGATAACTTACTGAGCAGGAATTTTGCTCCAAGCAGAGGTCAATCTCTATTTTCTGAAATCAGCCACTCTATGATACTAAATAAAAGCCTTTGAGGTTTGGAAAATCTTTTAGTGCGCGTGGGAGGAATTTTGGCCATGCACATCATGCAAGTGACGGCAGCTTAGCGAAGGTCTTACAAGATAGACGCTCATCCTTCTAAACGGTGATTTTCCGTTCGACATCGCTCCATGCGGGATACATGGTCATCTTCTGATTGCAGATTGCGCGACTTATTATTTTCCTTTCAGCACCGCACGATGCTTAGAAAGAGAATGGATCAGGCTATAAGCATTCCATGGATATCAGAATTTACTATTATCAAATTTCAACATCTGAAGAGCCAATTTTCGAGCGCCTCTTCTCTCGATTATTCATGCAAACGGTTACTGGGCAAGCCTAAATTATTGGCTCCGATTCACAGCCAGAGGCAGAGAGTAAACATGAGGGGCCCTGGTCTTTCACCTTTTGTTTCAGTTGTGAGGTGGCACCAGTTGGCCTATTGTGGGGCTGAAAGTTGGGCTTCGGGCTATACGAGCATAACGATACCGCACGCCACTGAAAATGCTTGTCAACACACCTTGTGAGGAGTTCATCAGGAGGTTCTGCGTCACATGATTTCCGCTGCATACTAATATCCCTACAAATGTGTGGACACTAAGACGTATACACAACGTACGGAAGCCTTAAAGGGACAGAATTACGAATTTTGAGAATACCGGTTCCGGCAGACGGACAGCAACCGAGAGTTTGGCACAAACCATGCCGCTCAAATACGTCGTTTCTCTGATCAGCAAAATATTTTATCTCTGATTATTCCGCTGCAAATGTAGTCATTCCACCTCTGGCGACCGAGGAGATTCTTAGCCTATACGCCTGGTCGTTTGCCAGATTTGAATGCCTCCTAAATTCTTCAAACGTCAAGCTAGATTATATCATTCCTATCTTATCCATTTTGGGGTCGTTTACTCTAATTAATTACTCGGGTTCATTAAATTCAAGACAAAATGGTTTAAGTAACCACCCGTGCTTCCTGTATAGACTAAAATATGCGCTGCGTACTCAGTTCTGTAAGGCTTTGAGCCATTTCTAAACTGCACTGGTGATCCTCCGGAAGTTGCGATGTCCTCGGAGTGCATATTGACTTTGTAGTTTCTCGTCGGCAACTTTCATTTTAACGGTATTTGTGCGTTCATGACATTTGAACGTTGGTCTAGAGACATCCTCAATATATATTCGGAGGTGACCGGGGCATCGAAAAACATCCAGGGCATTGGGCATCCTCCTGTCTTCCGCCATGTCCCTTTCACTCCATCGTGCGAAAGATACACATAAGGCGCATTGCCGTCATGACGAACTCATGCGTCTGACGTTGGTGGATTGCAAGATGCCTCACGACGTATGTGTTAGACACCTTCCGGTTACTCCCCACTGAGTTACGGAATGAGCTACCGGTTGAGCGTATCAGGCGCGCTGCATCTAATAACCAGTTCAAAGTACCTTTAGATGCATCTCTAGTTGGGTCCCCTTCACTTCCTCGCGCCGAGAATATAAAGAGTAGTTCCATACTCTTTTCCGCTTGTGCCTTTCAGGTGAACACCAGCCGCTGAAAGACAAGAACAAACCTGGCCCGGCAAGTTAGCGCGAAAGACTCGATCATGTGTGTCAACCCATGAAGCTGTTAAAAACCATGCAGTCGCTGAAGTCCTTTCGATTGTTTAAACACATCAGCGACGCATATGCATTTGTCAGAATCAATTTGAATTCGAGTCTGTTCGAGATGGAGGGTAATTTGTTACAAATTTCGGAGATAACACTGCTTTCTAGGAGCAAGAAACCCACGGAAGTTAAGTGCTGCCAAGGAATCTCGCTTGGCTTTGCTATCAAGAATGCGCGAGGCCAAGGAAAAAGGAGAAAAACTACGCATAGTACGTTTTTCACCGTAATACTCATTGTCCAAGGAAAAAGAAGAGGAGTCTGTATATGTGACTGTGGATGAGTCCGAGTATGCTAAGCTGGTGCAACAGAGGCTGGAAGACGATTGGATAGTTGATGATGGTGAGTTGCTATGCGGATTACTTCGTGTCGGATTTGGCTGGATGTTACTCGATATTTCATTGTGAAACCTGTGGAGAAACTGCTGATGGGCGTTCTGTAGTAAATTTTGATGTTACAAAGTCTTAGATTACACGAGGTCTCTGGATGCGACGCAGAGTGCGCAATCAACTTCCTGCATAGGTCTATGCAAGAATAACTCGGTTATTCCGATAAGCTTTTGGGCTAGGGAGAGGGGATGGAGTGATGTAAATGAGACCATAGGTACAGGTTGACAGCTGCCAAGTCCTGTATTGTCATTATTCAGAAGCCAGTTTGTTGATCTCAAGGAGAACATCTCAAATACAGGCAACACCCGATGCCCCATGTCTACCAAATAGGGCATTTATTAAGACGGAACTCCACAAATCTCGAACTGATATCTACAAATATAGTTTTGGAAGTAATTGGAGCGTGGTGGAACACTGTAAATCGGCCTCCATCTTCGTATAACTACGATGCCCTCTGGTAACGAAACTGCAATTCAACCACAGGCGTTCTCTGCACATCGCCGGCCTGCGTGCTGCTCGTTTACTCACCCGCCACGATGCCAAAAATGGGAGGCTTCAAAAACAAGATTCCCCTCCCTCGCCTTTCCCCTACAACTTTGTTTTCTGCTTGAGATTCCTCTGCCTTCCACTGAAACCTCGGGGTCGAAATACTCCCTGGACGTTCGCTCACAGGCATTGAGTATGCGGACGACGTTGCTCTTCTTTGCTCAGATCCTTTGAAGATGCCGGCCATTTTACCTAACCCTAATAACTCTACCGCATGGTTTGGTGCGGGCTTCACATCCGTAAAATTTAAGGTGTTGCTGCTGTTGCTTGAGGGCAAATCCAAACCTCATACTTGCAGACCATCCAGTTGGCGTCATAGATAAATTTGTTTACCTAGGCAGTTGTATAGATCTGGTAGACTTGCTGGAGATGAGTACTCCGAATCAGGGAGGCCAGGACAACTTTTGCTGATCTCTTACACCTATGGTGCCGGTGAAACGTCAGTCTTTCTGTCAAGGGTAGAGCATACTCTGCACTATGGTAGTGAGATCCAAGCTGATTAGAAACATGGCCTCTACCTGCTGAGAATGTACGAAAACTCAGTGATTGACCATGGGGTATCTCCGAATCATTGGTCGGGTCTGGTGAAAACATCGGATCTGCAATCCTGAGGTACGCCAGATGGTCTTGGGAAGAGGAAACTCTTCCGTGACAGGACATGTACTCCGCATTCCAGAAGACCGTCTGCCTCGCAGAGCTCTTTTCGCCAAGTCCTGCACTCAGTGGAAGTGACCGAAAGGTGGAGTGTAGGACTTGACTATGAACTGTGAGAACACTGACCAGTAAACTGGCAACTGCTGCCCTCCTGGATGGGGACCCCGGTGCTCACCAATGGTTGTTGGTAGACATGGCCCCATCGCGGTTAATGGCGTTCATGCATCAAATCAGTCGCCTTCAATGTGTATCTACACAGTTGCCGAACTGACCAAACATGCCGCAGTCTCCGATGTTTGGTTGTATATTCCAAGCCCTCTTACTTTTCGGTGATGGAAACTAGCAGCTCATCATCACCAACAACATGACATCACTGTCATCGTCATCAAAGACAGCGACATCAGTGTTGCCGCTGATGCTTCACTGCCGTACAACCATAAGGTTCGTCTAGTTATATGTGCATATATATATATATTGTATTAAAAACTCTACAGGGAAGAGAAGAGAAAAAGAGGACCTAGTGCTGGCCTATTTCAAGCGTACTGAGGTGCCTACACCTCCAACCGCTCAATCAGACAATCTGGAAAGAAAATGACAGCACGAACGCCACTGGTATTGATTAACCGCCATTATCAGGCGCGCTGCATCTAATAACCAGTTCAAAGTACCTTTAGATGCATCTCTAGTTGGGTCCCCTTCACTTCCTCGCGCCGAGAATATAAAGAGTAGTTCCATACTCTTTTCCGCTTGTGCCTTTCAGGTGAACACCAGCCGCTGAAAGACAAGAACAAACCTGGCCCGGCAAGTTAGCGCGAAAGACTCGATCATGTGTGTCAACCCATGAAGCTGTTAAAAACCATGCAGTCGCTGAAGTCCTTTCGATTGTTTAAACACATCAGCGACGCATATGCATTTGTCAGAATCAATTTGAATTCGAGTCTGTTCGAGATGGAGGGTAATTTGTTACAAATTTCGGAGATAACACTGCTTTCTAGGAGCAAGAAACCCACGGAAGTTAAGTGCTGCCAAGGAATCTCGCTTGGCTTTGCTATCAAGAATGCGCGAGGCCAAGGAAAAAGGAGAAAAACTACGCATAGTACGTTTTTCACCGTAATACTCATTGTCCAAGGAAAAAGAAGAGGAGTCTGTATATGTGACTGTGGATGAGTCCGAGTATGCTAAGCTGGTGCAACAGAGGCTGGAAGACGATTGGATAGTTGATGATGGTGAGTTGCTATGCGGATTACTTCGTGTCGGATTTGGCTGGATGTTACTCGATATTTCATTGTGAAACCTGTGGAGAAACTGCTGATGGGCTTTCTGTAGTAAATTTTGACGTTACAAAGTCTTAGATTACACGAGGTCTCTGGATGCGACGCAGAGTGCGCAATCAACTTCCTGCATAGGCCTATGCAAGAATAACTCGGTTATTCCGATAAGCTTTTGGGCTAGGGAGAGGGGATGGAGTGATGTAAATGAGACCATAGGTACAGGTTGTAGCCTATGAAATAATTGACAGCTGTCCTGTACTGTATTGTCATTATTCAGAAGCCAGTTTGTTGATCTCAAGGAGAACATCTCAAATACAGGCAACACCCGATGCCCCATGCAAATAGGGCTGGCCATTTATTAAGACAGAACTCCACAAATCTCGAACTGATATCTACAAATATAGTTTCGGAAGTAATTGGAGCGTGGTGGAACACTGTAAATCGGCCTCCATCTTCGTATAACTACGATGCCCTCTGGTAACGAAACTGCAATTCAACCACAGGCGTTCTCTGCACATCGCCGGCCTGCGTGCTGCTCGTTTACTCACCCACCACGATGCCAAAAATGGGAGGCTTCAAAAAAAAGATTCCCCTCCCTCGCCTTTCCCCTACAACTTTGTTTTCTGTTTGAGATTCCTCTGCCTTCCACTGAAACCTCGGGGTCGAAATACTCCCTGGACGTTCGCTCACAGGCATTGAGTATGCGGACGACGTTGCTCTTCTTTGCTCAGATCCTTTGAAGATGCCGGCCATTTTACCTAACCCTAATAACTCTACCGCATGGTTTGGTGCGGGCTTCACATCCGTAAAATTTAAGGTGTTGCTGCTGTTGCTTGAGGGCAAATCCAAACCTCATACTTGCAGACCATCCAGTTGGCGTCATAGATAAATTTGTTTACCTAGGCAGTTGTATAGATCTGGTAGACTTGCTGGAGATGAGTACTCCGAATCAGGGAGGCCAGGATAACTTTTGCTGATCTCTTACACCTATGGTGCCGGTGAAACGTCAGTCTTTCTGTCAAGGGTAGAGCATACTCTGCACTATGGTAGTGAGATCCAAGCTGATTAGAAACATGGCCTCTACCTGCTGAGAATGTACGAAAACTCAGTGATTGACCATGGGGTATCTCCGAATCATTGGTCGGGTCTGGTGAAAACATCGGATCTGCAATCCTGAGGTACGCCAGATGGTCTTGGGAAGAGGAAACTCTTCCGTGACAGGACATGTGCTCAGCATTCCAGAAGACCGTCTGCCTCGCAGAGCTCTTTTCGCCAAGTCCTGCACTCAGTGGAAGTGACCGAAAGGTGGAGTGTAGGACTTGACCATGAACTGTGAGAACATTAACCAGTAAACTGGCAACTGCTGCCTTCCTGGATGGGGACGCCGGTGCTCACCAATGGTTGTTGGCAGACATGGCCCCCATCGCGGTTAATGACGTTCATGCATCAAATCAGTCGCTTTCAATGTGTATCTACACAGTTGCCGAACTGACCAAACATGCCGCAGTCTCCGATGTTTGGTTGTATATTCCAAGCCCTCTTACTTTTCGGTGATGGAAACTAGCAGCTCATCATCACCAACAACATGACATCACTGTCATCGTCATCAAAGACAGCGACATCAGTGTTGCCGCTGATGCTTCACTGCCGTACAACCATAAGGTTCGTCTAGTTATATGTGCATATATATATATATTGTATTAAAAACTCTACAGGGAAGAGAAGAGAAAAAGAGGACCTAGTGCTGGCCTATTTCAAGCGTACTGAGGTGCCTACACCTCCAACCGCTCAATCAGACAATCTGGAAAGAAAATGACAGCACGAACGCCACTGGTATTGATTAACCGCCATTTCTTGCAACGTCTCCAGCCAAGCACAGACGGGGTCACGGGGACCCCATCCTGGGAGGCGTACAACACCAACAACACCCAAACTCTTCGT